AAAATTGGATTAAAAAATTACACAAAAAAATGAGGAATTTCAAATAGTTAATTTGATACTAATATCGATATATTTTTGTCAAATTTTTATGATATCGTCAAACATATATTTTATTCAAAAATAAAAACATCATCGTTTTCTCAAAATCATATAAAGTCATATTATAACATTGACTGAGATAAATAATAAAATGAAATATTAAAAACACGATGTATTTCGCTGCATTCCGCGAGTACGCTTCTAGTATTCATAAATATAATCATTATAATAAAAGGAATTATATTGCCCACAAGCGAATATGGGAGAGTGGTCACACCCCAAGGAAAAAGACGAGAGCCAACCAAATTGGTAGATATTATAAATTATGAATTTCAAATTCTTAAATAATGATAAAATTTCAAATGAAAACAAAATTTACAAACGGATAATAATTTTTGTTCAAGAAAGAGATAAATAACACTTATTTTATAATAATCTTTTTTGAGTAAATTATTAATTTCGTCTCTATAATTGTATGAAAATTATGGATTGGATCCTACAAACGAAATAAATACAGCTATCATCATCGTGGTTTCACCTTGATTATAGATTTGGTCCGTTCTCTTAACTTTGTTAACGTAAATTTCGTTACGTCAAGGATGTTTTGGTCATTTGAGTTTTCACTTATTTTTCTTTTAAAATAATTTATAATATAAAATATATATGTATATGTATATACACACAATGGAAACCTCTTAAGAAGTCTCATCGGTCTTCCCTGTCTTCGGCCACCTTCCCCTGTCATCCTTGCCCGTCTTTGACAACCTCCCCAACAAAGGTGGAATCCCATGTGGGCCTTTGGGGGCAATGGCCTCCTTGCTTTTTGACTCAAATAGAGTTCATGAACTACGTAAAACATATGGTGTTGATAGCTCAATTGGTTATCATTTTATGACTATATCCTTGAGGTCATGGTTCCATTTCTTATTTTTCCTTCCATGCATTACACATTAAATTATTAATGTAAATTATATATAAGAATTAGTTTTTAAATAATATAAAAAATAATGTTTAATTTTGTATGTAGTGTTATATTATTAATCTAAAGGTTTTGTTTCTATTAGTTCATGATAGTATAAAAAACATAACAAAATTGTATTATTATTTTTCAGTTAATAGTGTAAAGGTTTTGAGTTTTAAAGGCCGTTTACCCAAACATTTATCTGATAAACACTTACCGGTAAGATTTGACATTATCACTTACCTTGCTGGCTAAAATTTGTGCTCCATCAAAATGGCATCATATGCAACAATTTACTCACTAAACACTAGCCGGGTAAGAGTCCTCAGTTGTACTTGCAAAGGTAAGACTCTTGATCCTTACGTGTAAGATTCCCGATTCTTGTTATCTTCATTTGGTAAGAGAATATGACTTGTTAGTACTTGATAAACGACTCCTTAATTTTTCATTAACAAATTTTCTCTAAAATTTAATATTAGATCATAGGAAAAAGAACAAAAAAAAGTTGTATGTGTATCATTGGATCTCTAAAATTTTGTAATATTATATTTCGGCCCCCCAAACTACAACGGTCATGTTCTGCCCCTGCTCCCCAATCTCCGGCCTAAACGACAAACTACCATCTCAAAGCATCCTCCCCCAACGACGCCCTCCCTCCTCCTCCTCCTTCTTCAACCACTAGAACCTGCACGGCTGCACCGCCATGAGTCTTTCCCCCTATTTTACCTTCCACCTAAATCTAGGCCCCCTCAACGCAACATGCACCACCCTAAATCTACAATCCCTCACATGTAATATTGGTGTCAAGCAGTTGGTACTTCCATAGAATTAATATGATAATATGACTCGAGTAATGAATTCCAATTGGATGAAGCAATAATTAAGGGTATGCAAAACCTGAATTATCCGAAATCCGAGTCCAAACCCTAACCATTTATGTAAAATTTGAATGCCTTGAAATCCAAAAATCCAAAAATCCGAAAACCGACTTTTTAGGGAAATTTTGGGTTCGGGTTGGGTTTTTTTTTGGCCACCCGATCCGTTCGAAAACCCAAAATATATATACATATCTATACTATATTATAAAGCATTTGACAAAAACTCTTAAAAACCATTTTTTATGCATAAAGTACTTTTTGTTGATGCATATTACTTAAACCTCAAGATCACAAGTAAATTATGCATAGGTACAACTTATTAAAACTTTATTTTTGAATTTGTGTAACTAACTATAGATAAACATAATCAAATACGGGATAAACATCTCGTTGTGAATATAAAAAATCTAAAATATAATTAGAATAATCATTAATTATAACAAAATAATTAATTATTATCTTTATAAAAATTATATTATCAAACGATAATTAAATTACTTCGTTATTGAATCTAAATTAAATTATAAATAAAATATTGAATTAAAAAAATTACGTAGAAAACCAGAACTTTAAATAGTAAATTTGTTACTAGTATCGATATTTTTGTCCAAACTTTTATGATATATTTAAATTTATATATTATTCAAAAATAAAAACATTATCCCTTTTTCAAAACCACTAAAAAACCGTATATATCGATATAGATAAATAATAAACGAAACATTAAAATTAAGATATATCTATTTATATTATGCGAGCACCCTTCTAGTATATTTTAAATACTATATAAATATATTTATTTATCTAATTATCCTTTGAAAATTCTAAAAATCTTAGTCAGTCGTTTTTTTTTCTAATTTCTAGGAGAGTTGTTTCTTGAATCTGCTTCATATATCAAAGCATCCTGAATATATAAGTTTTTTTTAAATTGTTATACAAAACTCATATAAATCAAAAACCAAATTCTAACTTAAAAAGTCTGAACAAGATAAAAAAAAAACCCTAGAAGACAATGTCTTCCAGATATGTAACAAAAAAACTGATCAAATCCCATCTGTTGAACTTCATTGGCTTAAATCATTTGTCAAACAGAACCCCTTTTCATACCCTCTTCCTTCATTTGTTCTCGAGGTTGTGAGAGTTCTCATGAAAAAGATAAATATTATGTTCTCTGTGTCGAAAGAACCGAAACCCAAAAAAAATGTGAAAACTCTCTACCACTACTCCCCCTATACGAATAATGAGTGGTTCAGACTAAACGTGAAAGCGCCCGAGTGAAGAAGATGAAGATGGAAGCTTTATATATAATAAGTCCAATTTTAAAAAATAAAATAAAAGAAAACTGTAAAAAGATGAAGATGGAAGCTTTATATATAACAGAGCACCGGTTAGTAGGGTTAAAGAGAAAGGATCTAATCCATAACAAAAGTGAAACCATGATGACCTTATATGTAATTATTTCGTTTAGAAGACCCAATCTGAAAATTTTAATAACCACGGGGACGAAATTTGTAATTACTCCTTTTTTTTTTCGTATTATATAAATTCTTTGGAATTATTTTTTAATAAATGGGAGAACCTTAGAAAACTTTATTCAAATTCTTTGGAATCTTTATATCTGGCTATAACTTGTCCGCCAGGCTGGTCCAAAAGTTGTCTTGTACAAATAGGGCTTAACAGATCACAACCGTGGTCCGTGAAAATGAAAAACGACACCACCACAAATCCAAAACAGTAATATGCTAAACAAACCCAGTATATCTCACACAGATAGATAAGTAAGGTCTTGGCAAAAATCAACATTATAACCCGAACTTTTTTTAGGGGGGGGGGGATTATGGTGGTACGTTGGTGTTGGGAGAAAGGGTAACATCATCAACAAGAACATTAGCATTGGATGTAATTCTGTATGTGACATCTAGGCCTTCTAAATTCAGGTGATATATTGTATCATTACTAGAAACCTGCGAGGGTCCTTCTTCTTCATCTTGGGATCGTTGTGATACTGATCGTATGTCCCATGAAAGCACCTGTTTGATCAACCTTTTAAATTCTTCGGCTGACGTATATAGTGACTTCTTGTCCTGTAAAAATGAGGGATAGTGTGAGAGTGAAAACCGAGTTTAACATTTTACACATATATTAAGTACCAAACATATTAATAAAAGATACTGCTTTGGTCTTTCTTGATATATATATATATATATATATATATATATATAATGATCTGATTTTGTATTTGTTCTTCTGGGTTTATATTTAAGAATCAGATACAACAAACCATCATATTGGTTGTGTTAATGGTGTTATTATGACTCATATTGGTTAATGTGATTGCAGGGCTGTTCTTGTAATTCTACATGTTAATCTAACAATGAAGAATATTATGTTAAATGATTACATAACAGAAGTCTTACCATTGCTGGCCAAATACCAGTTAAAGTTGCAAAGAAATCATCAGAGAAATCAACAGAAGCGACGGCCAACAGATCGTCCACCTGTTCACAATATTGAATTTTCATGGGAAGAATATCTTCAAAAAGCAACATAATATATTAACCTCCTTGAGTATAGCTTATGTGTTTTGATACTGATCATTGGAAATAAGGGCAATGACATCCATGATGAAGGTATATAAGCCTCCACGAATGGCTATGCATGCTGAAAATTACCAGCTCCTCACCATGGAATTGATATAGGGGGTAGACTTGGGTTCCCAAGACTCGACAAGCCCATCTAGAAATACATAAGGGTGCGTTTGGTATGCAAACATGATTTGACTGGACCGGGGAGAGTAAGGTAGACAGGTGAATGAATTGTGGAAGGTTTTAGGGTTTTAATTTGATATGGGTACTTTAGTAATTTACCAATTTGTCCCCTCTCACAAACTTTTGTTTCCCCTATTCTGGGACATCTGACTAACAGTCAATTCTGTTTCATTAAACTACACGCCCCATCAAATAATGCAATTTTCTGTTTTTTTTTTTCATGGGAAGTAGGTTATATAAACCCTTAATGATTGCTGATAGGTTAACTTCAAAAACTCAGACATATTGATTATTTATACAGACACATACTCTAAGAAATAAACTAGCCACAGTTGAGCGATGATACCTTAACCCAATCGGGCACTACTGCTCCTTTGATGCTGTCACAGTAAGGTAGATAGGGCTTGATATCCAGAACAGGCTATTCACAACACCAGAACATGGAAACCACCAAAATTCATTAACATCCATTCATTTCAATTCCAATTCCTACACACCCAAATAATGGCCTTTTAGTGTGTGTGTGTGTATCAATATGGTAATGGGGTAACAAAGACTTACAGTACCATCAACCAAATCCACACCAGAAAGTAGGATGCTAGTTCCCTGAACCGACTCCACCTACATTGACAAAGAACTCGAACTTAATATTTTTTTTTACATCGGAATCCAAACTTTGTATACTTTTTGCCTGATCAGCATATGTATCACACAGGACTAACCATTACCACCTCCAGTTCAAAACTAGAGATACATTTAGGCATTGTCCATCAGAAGTCTCGCTCTTCAAATATAAATTTGACAAGGGACCATTGTCAATTGAAAGATTATATATTTTTTATTAATAGTAAACTTTATATAATTCAAAAGAATAGTTCCTTTGTTTCTATGTTCACCTCTAGATCTCAATAACTTCGTAGCAAATTCTGATAAATTGACCTGTTTGACCGTAAAAGTGAAACAGCATTTGACTAGACTATTAGTATAAAAACATAGCTTGACTATTAGTCAAATATCTAAAATACCCCTTGATAAAGAAGGGAATCTATCTTGTGGACTAAAATCAAAGCTATTCATATCTTTTAGTGATAACTAAAGACAGATAATAATATAGGAAGGAATTTAGACAAAAAAATTGTTGCATATATTTTGTGATAAAGGGAGTAAAACTCGACATGATAGTTCCCTTGTTTTTCTCTGAATCAAAATAGCTTCATATTGAATTTTTACCATAAGACTGATATTTTTTTTCCATCAAAGTAAAATGTATGGCATTCCTCTAGTTTCAAAATGGAGGGAGTAGACATTTGAGCAAACAAACGAGTGCAGTAAGAGATAAAAAGGAAGAGAACGGTTACCATGGAACCTAGAAAGCTATTTCCTGTTTGGGAAGGTCAGCATAACATGACTTACATAACTTTTGAAGCATGCTTTTGAACTTACTTCTCAAACATGATTTTTCAACTTACTTTTGCCACCGTAAGACCAATTGGGCAGGGGCGATGTGGTGATCTTGTAGCAAAGAGCCCCATCTTTTCACCTTTCATTCTTGGTACTCTTACCTATAACATTTGAGTCGTTTTGGGACTTCCAGAAAGATAACAGCAAAAGAGAGAAAAATATCAAGAGGAAGAGAACCCACACCTTTGCCTTCAACTTCGACCTTGATGGATGTTTCCACAACTTGTCGAGATCTGTATTAAGATGAAAAACATATATGATCCAGCAGTGGGAATACTCTTCAAGACCCTCAAGAGAAGCAGGTGGAACGCGAGCTGTATCAAACATCAACCGTGCCCTTGCAAGAGGTACAATCAGAGGTTGCCTTGGCGTCCCATTCCTGAGTTCATGAATTACACGAATAAAATACTGTAAATTCAACGTATTTGCATGAGAGAAGCAGAACTGATTTCAAGAAGTGCATGGCCAGCTTTCTTTCCAAACGTTTTCAGCCAGTATGGTTATATTGAGGTGCATATTATAATCCAACAGTCAAACCCACTCAGCCGGCAATTTTTCTGGCGAATTTAAGCATCATTTGACTTTGTATGCTCAGTCCATGTATTTGAGAAGTAAGCCCACATCACATTTTAATAATTATACACTGATTGAATATACATTTAAGAAATATGCCCATCCTTGTAAATCTTTGAAATATATGCTCTATTTGTACTTAAATCCATCCTTTTGGCACCTATCAATTACCGATCTATAACCAAGATCAAGGGGGGTCTATTAGCTATTAAGTAATTACTAAATACAAGAGATTTGATGTAAAAGATGGGTTCAAATATGAGCTTATCAAACCTACTCCCCAGAAAGGCCAAATGATATACAAAACATATAAATTGGGTGGAGTACCTCATGGTCCGTCGGTGGATATGGTAGAATTGAGGTCATCTTAAACTGCCAAAATCGTTGTTTCCTGTACAAAGTTCATTTCTGTTGTTTGTTGAATAAGAGTTTCAGAACTTTGTCAATTACAATTTTCATGTACAGATTAGTTGTTAGATTAACATTTTAGGTCATTATGGTTTCAATTTTCTTAAAAATTCAGTCCTTATGTCATATGCCATTAACTTTTGTTTGTTAAGTGAAGACCGGTGTTAGGGCCGGCCCTGGCCACGTGCAGCCCGTGTGGCTCCCCAGGGCATCAAAGCCTAAAGGGGCATCAAGTTGTCATCTATTACTAGTTTTGGGTTTAATAATTTGAGAATTGGACAACTGAGCTTTATCTATAATAACAGGCCTAAGGCCTAGTAGTGAAGAATACTGAATGCACATCGTGAACCGGCTAACGCCATCATTCCAACAACTCAATCTAATTTCTATTGTTCTTCAAAGTTCGACTATTTCGATTTTCAAGGCATGAAGTTCTCTTTCCAGCCGATTAAAGGTCATGAAATTAGATTCAAGAAATCAAAGATAGAAATCTCGAATGACTGATTTCTACCATTGATTGAACTTACCGAGTTGCTATGTGAGTCATATTATGATTTATGAATCTTTAGATCTTTTTGCAAAAAAATCTAAATTTCTAACTGATTATTATAAAGTTGGGTCATGTGGTCGTGTGGGTTACCGACCTACTAGGCTAAGGCTAAGGGGCTTTTGTCATTTTGATAATGAGTCTTCCTCTTGCATATTGAAATATCTGAGAACTGAAATTTTCAATGCATATGAGCACATCACTATATCAACATAGCTGAAGCACACTGCACAACATTAACAATATATTGTGATATTGTCTTAATTATTGGGCACTTGTTCTTTGCAATGTAGAGTAACATAGATTATGAGTTTTACAATTTATTATTGTTCTTTGGCTTTTGTTTACTTTGAGGTTTGGCATTACCGCATTAGATTTAGGAGGTGTTTGATTGGTTTTTTTATTAAGTTCTATATGGATAAAGTTGTCTGTATGAATCAATCTGTTCGTATAAGTTGGAAAAGTTTTTGTTTGGAAGAGTTTTCCGCAGATATAAGGAGCGTTTTTTTAGTTGGAAGGGACATGTTTGGAAAAAAAAACTTGGCTTTCTGTATAAAGCTCCCCCTAGAAGCTTACTGGATAAGTCACTTTTTATATCATTAAGCCACTACGAAACAATCATGCATAGTTGAGCAAATAAGTTGTTAGTCCCATTAAGCTTATTAAGCTGCTAATAGATAGGCCCTTAGCCTTTAGTTATTAGACCTGTAACTTTTGAGTTTTACTTTTTGGTTACCATGACAATAATTTGGATGTAATTTACTATTTTAGTTGAAAACTAATTATAGTTTTCCTTGTTTGTTAAGTCCCATATATTGAAATAAAGTTTCTATTTTGCTAATTTCAATTTGGAAAAGGAAAAACGGGAAAAGAAGGAAGCACGATCTTAATCTAGGATTTATCCTTTTATCATTTTATATTTTGTATTCGGGGTTTTGGTTTTTATGTCCCCCCATTGTATTTTTATTATAATTAATAAAAATTAACATTGGGATGAGACACTTAGCTTGAATAGGTTCTAAACTCTTTAAAAAATCGCATCTTTCGTTGTTTCATTGGCTTAAAAAAATAGGCTTAGGGGAATTTTTTATTATTTTCACATAGGGCATCAAAATCTTAGGACCAACCTTGACTGGTGTGTGCATATTGTAACGCCCTTTGATGATTTCATTCGTTCCAAAATTCCTTCAAATCGAACTCCATCTCACATCTGAGATGAGAGAGAAACAAAGAGGATGAAAGTTTCAAACTATCTCCAGGGTTTGGTCTGAGTATATATTTTAAGAAGAGTGATTTGTACCTAAAATGAATTCCTTTAGAATAACTTTGGTTGTTATTGATCAGTCCATACATTTTGTTAAAGAATAATATTCTTTTTATGCTATGCAAATGACCATTTCTAAGGAATTCACATCCCATCTGAAGAGACGACCAAAAACTACAAAAGTCATTGAAAAGGAATATGAGATTCCATTCCATCACTTTCCATCTAACTAAAGGCCACCTTAGGAAAAAAATTATAGGAAAAAGTTTAATAAAATTAAAAATGAGAAATTTCTGAATTTTCAAGCACGAGTATCTAAAGCCAAGAAAAGGGTTATAACCTGCCCTCCTAAAAGTATGACTCATGCTTCATATGAAAGGCATATAATGTACAGACACTTGCTGCAAGCTATTTAGAGCATATCCAATTCAAGGACCAATAATTTGAAGGGTTTCTTTTTACGCCTATTCCAAAACGCATGGACTCGATCACAAGGAAATGTAAAATCTAGGATTCCTAGACCTAGCAGGAAAAGAATGGAAACAAATACTCGATACATACCAATATTTCCAATATATTTTGTTTCAATGTTACTTTGAACTGAATGTAATTAGTGTGAATAGTGCTAGACGAACACATTATCAACAACAGTGGGACAAGAAAGGATGGATGCTCTGTAGTTAGTGTAATTACCTCGTGGAGAAACAAGAACGGATGATGCCAATAGGTGCCATGGGATAAGACATCTCCAACTTGTCAGTTTTTGGTTTGAGCATTGCTTTTCTTAGATCCTACAAGATTAGCTGCAGCAGTTATATTATCTAACAGTCCCAGAACTGGCATATGAATGTACACAAAAGTAGCATGATCCCCAACTTATATCTTTTCTCATCTCAAGATGGAAACTGGGTTTTGTTAGAAAGATAATACTCCCTCTCCTCCAAAATAAGAATTACAATTGGCTTGAGGTCGGCCTTAAAACTCAAAAAATTTGTTCACTTTGTAACCAATTAAAACCAACATACTTAAGAAAATTTGTACTGTTCGTAAGTTGTCGAAAGTTAAAATAAATGAGACGCACATGGCAAAAACCTCGGACAAATTAGTAAGCACTGTGACACTGTCCTAAAGGGTTACTTCAGTTTTATGCATTAAACACCCAGGAGCACAGAAGAACCATACACCAAAAACCCAGCAAGAAAAGAATCTTACTGGAAGAGATATAGCCACATAGGGCAGATGACAAGGGTTAGAAAAAAGTTTGAAAGAGAGGAAAGACATAATAGTAAACAGTATAAAAACAAGTTAGGAAATCGAAGACAGGTAACAGAAAGAAAGCCTAATCACCAAGGGACAATAAAAGCATACAGAAAGGTACAAAACCACTAAACTAACTAACCACAAAATAGCCGTTGACTCACCAACTCTCCCCCAACCTACGGCTTTGATACCTACCTAACCATCCTAGTACCCTGAAATCTACCTTTAGACTCTCAAACACATCCCCAACCCTCATCTAAAACTTCCAAAAAGTTGATAATATGGAGTATTAGACTCCAAAATATTCCAACAAGTAAAGTGATAAAGCACCCTACATTTATAGTGAGTTTCCTACTTTCCTAACTAAGATCCCTCTAAACCAAATAGACTATTAGGAGTAGTATGTACACGTGCCAGCAAAATGGTTAAAGGTTGTATTTGTTGTATATATAGGGAAAAAGAAGTGTATAGCAATAACAAAAATATTCCAATCTTTCTCTCGTTCTTATTTCTCTCTGCTTCCGATTACATCTCCCAAACCCTAAAATAGACTACAATTCCTAACTAACTCATTGATAATTATTCCTCAAGAAACTAAGTGGCTACTTTGCTACACATCTTATATATCTATTTATGCTCAACTTGAAACAATGACTTGTCTAGACCATAAACCTTCAATTAGGTACAAGGTTTTAAAAAGCGGAATCGGGACTCGAGGCGTTTTCCTTCCATGCCCTGAGGCATAAGCCTCTAGGCAGTCCGAAGCACAAGCCACGAGGCGTAAAACAAATAAAATTCATAAATATTAATAGTAAGCTGAACATAATTCCGTACCAAACTTTAAACGTCATAGATTCATAAAATACTAGTTATAAGCCTAAATACATATCAATCTACAAGTTATAGTTCCCCGTAGCATGATCAAATAATATAGCTCCACAATCATATCCATAATCACGATCACTTTCATCTTCCAAATCCACATAAAACAGAAAACTGAAAATAATATAGAAAAGAGAAAATAAAAATAATACAAAAAACATAAAACAGAAAAACAGAAAATATACAAAAAAACATACATAACATATTATACATATAGGAAATACATTCTACATGATATAGAACATATATACTTGACTGAAATATATATAATATAATATAATACATTATACATAAACTAAAAATATGGACACAAACTAAAAAGAACTTTAGAGAGGAAAAAGTAAGAAATGGAAAAGAAAAAAATGGCGTGCGCCTCGGAGACGCCTCACGCCTCAACAACTCAACACCTCGCGTCACCAATCAAGGCTTAAGCCTCGTCAGGGGACCATGAGGCGCCGCCTCATGAGCGGTTTTGTACTGCCTCGCCTCGAGGCGCACGCCTCAAATGATTTTGAAAACCATGATTAGGTATCCAGGAATCCAGCCATACCATGTTTTCATCTAAAACACTCTTATTTGGGCAATACAGTAACAGAGCCATACCCATTTGCAAGCAGAGTGAAAAAGTAAATTTCTCTTCAGAACAGAGAAAATAATTACTGATAAAAAAAAGGGTTTGTGTGCGTGTAACCTGCTGAGCTCTAATTCGACCTTGCCTCTCAGCAGCACACTTTCCCATTGATTCATTGAGCGAATTCTGAAGCTCCTTTATAATCTTATCCTTCAAATCTGTTGCTCTTCTCTTACTCCAAAAATAAACTGAAAAGGATAAAAACTGATGGATTTCTTTTCTACTAGAGTTAACAAATACAAAAGCCAATGTTACCCGAGATGGCAGCGGATGTAGAAACGGTAGCGAATGTCAGTGTGATGGATAAAGTCAGCCATTTTGAGATTTCAGTAGAGCTCGCCATTAACTGCAGAAACGAGGGCTCACTACATTGCCTTTAGCTACGACAGAAATCCAGTAAGCAATATTGTTTACAGTGTAAATTACAAAAATCGTCCCTGCACTTTATATTAATGAGATCAGTCACTTTAGTTTTGCACACGTTTAGTCCAAAAACCGAATTAAAATATCAATTTAGTCCAATTTAAATGGTTCCGTCATTCCGTGAATTTTCAATTTCTCCTTTTGATATGTTTTTTATTTGATTTATTGTTGACTAAAAATATGCTTGTACAATACACAACAATATATCTTATGCTCAATTGAGAACTCGAACTCATAGTCTTAGGGGCGTTTACCAAATGTTTACTCGGGTAAGTGAACACCAAGTCACATTATCTTACCGGATGAATATGGTAAGGACCAAGAATCTTACCCGGTAAGTGAGGGTGACGACTCTTACCGGGTAAATTAATTGGTGCATACGATACCATTTTGGTGAACTAAAATCTTACCCAGTAAGTCAATAATAGTGTTAAATTTAAGTGTTTGGTAAACGACCCGTTAGTTCATACTTTTATTTTCTCTCCTTGGTTTTTATTTTATGTTTTTGTGTAGTTTTTAGACAGCAAATGGGTTGGTTATTGGTTCTTATGGAATATTTTGTTATATTCTGCAAACATTATATCCTACAGATACTCCTTTTATGTTAGATATACGGGGTTCGTTTGAGTTGACTTTAACAGAACCTTTATTTAAAGTAAACATGATAGTTGATGATTATGTTGGAATAGGTTTTGACTTTTTCTCTTCCACAAATGTTGGAACTCTCACTTCTAAAAAAAAAAAGCGGGGAAGGGCTTTGCAAATATCCATGACGGACATGACTCTCTTTCTTAGCGTTCCACCCCTCTTGTATAGTAAGGGGAACTTTGGTTATGCGAACCCACGTGACGAACACGAAGGTTACCAACTTTCGGTGAACGTGGGTAAGAACCATCTTAAAGAGTAATCGTATGAGATTTCACATTTTTTAAAATGACGATAAGAGAGGTTGTGAGTTGTGTAAACTATATGAAACTTTGAGGACCAAAAGATATAATTATGGTCTGCCAAGGGGACAAAGACAGAGGCTGTCATTGTCCTCAGATCAAAAACAAATATGGGATTGTTTGGAGTAATAATATTTTAATTAATTTTGCAGATGGGTCTCAACAATCATAGATTCAGATTTGTTGTCTGTGTAGAAGGTGAAGATAAAGAGACCCACAATCTTTTCATTTTCAATTGAGCAGGTATTCCCATCTCTCTCTCCAATTCTTGAATTCTAGTTCATTTTCCTTTCTATTATATGGGTTTGGTGTAGATGGATAAGTCAACATATGTTCTCAGATTCCCACCAAAACTAGCTTTCAATTGAATTCCCACTTTTAGAATAAGGTTCTAATGCAATATGTTCTGAGTTGAAAACTCAACTCCTTGCAAGTTTCTGCAATTGGGAATGCCAAAATTAGGGTTTGTGATTGTGTTAGTCTTCTTCTTGTTACTGGCATTGCTTACTGTGATGTCCAATTTCAAGATTTATAAACCTCTTGGTGTATGTAGAAACACTTGTAGCCTTGCCCATGAATTGGTGAAGTCTGATATGATCATACTGCATTCTCAAATATGGTTTCGTCGATTTCGTGTGCTTTCTGGAAGGTAATGTAAGAATCTTCTAGAATTTGATTATGTGATTATGTCAACAGATTGTTTTGACTCAACTTTTGATCAAAGTCATCATACCCCATTTGCAAAAACTCGAGTTTGATTTGATTTTGCATTTGGTTATATGTCTGTTGTTGTCAATAAGTCAAATAAAAATGCTTATTTTATTTGATTCAGTTGACGGATTGTTTTATAGTTGAAATTTGATCAAGCTGAACATACCACATTTGCAAAAGATCGATTTTGATTCGTGGTTATATTTGATTACATGTCTTGTTTGTTCTTGTTCTTCCAAGATTCGTGTGATTTTGGTAGGAATAAGACTGTTATAGCATGGTTTGTCATGAATGCAGAAATTTGACTCGAATGGAAGAGGATTTGGATACAAAAACGGACCAATCTCCATGGGAGCCGTTGCTAGAAGAGTTCACATTTGCGAAAAATTCTGCTCCTTTTAATAGCTGCCATGCTTCTACAATAGTTGAGGTATTGATGCTCACCATTTGGGTTTCTTAACTTTCTATATGAGGAAAAAGCTCATTCACTTCTTTTGGAAAGTAAAAAAAGACCAAAACGGAGAAAATGGTGTACTTTCATAAGTTAGTGTGTACTTTCCAATTCTACCTTAAATTATGAGATGGTGAAATTCATTACTCTCTCTATTGTTAAGGGTAAAATTGTCATTTAGTTGATTAAAAAATGTTATAGTTACACATTTCTAAAACTGTTTGTCTTTTGGGAAAGAATGGACCCATGTTGGTTATGATTACTGATTTCTTTGCTTCAGGTTGATAAAGACCACTTTTTGGTAGCATACTTTGGCGGTTCATACGAGGGTGCCCCTGATGTCAAAATTTGGTTACAGATGCACAAGGTAAGTATATGAACAAACAGTAAATCTCACATGAAGCAGGGTCTGGGAGGGTAAAATGTATGCGGACTTCTAAAAAGGTTCATTGGAGGCTTAGAAATCGGTACTATCATCTTCTATAGTTAACGGTCAAGGGGTTGATTTGGGCAGGATGGTTATTGGCACCCCCCTGTTATTGCGGATGAGCAAGACGAGGTACCAATGTGGAATCCTGTACTATTTAAGCTTCCTTCCAATGAGTTGCTTCTCTTCTATAAGATCGGGCAGGAGGTTCAAAAGTACATTTCTGATTTTTCAAAAATATTTTTGAAACTAGACAATTTACAGACGTTAATATCGATGGGTTTGTCGTTTTAGGTGGAGCGGTTGCATGAAGAGGTCATACGATGGTGGTATAACTTGGAGTGAGAGAGAACAACTTCCTTCTGGCATCCTAGGACCAATAAAGAATAAGGTTGTACATTTGGTTCACTCTTTATGTCGTTTAAGGATTCCCTGATAAAAAAAACGACTATATCGTTATGTTTCTTTGTGCAGCCCCTGTTACTTGGAAACGGGAAATTACTATGTGGTTCGTCTGTTGAGAGTTGGAACTCGTGGGGCTCGTGGGTGGAGGTTATATACTTTGGCCATGTTTTGTGACCATAAGCTAGCTTATTTTTTGAGCTTATTCAAAATCTCCGTTTGATAAGCCATAAACAAGTTGATATGATAGCTTTTTAAAGAACTACTTCAGATAGCTTTTTAATAAGCTCCAGGAGTTTTTCACATTTTTCAAATTATGCCCCTTATATTGTACTTGAGTAATTTTTCAACATGTCTTTTTAAGTAATTTTACATTATAACTAGCTTATTAGCTAACAACTAGCTTTTCAACTAGTTTGCCGAACATAACCTTGATGATTCCATCTTTCATTCCAACTTTCGAACCAAACGGGCCGACATAGTTTGCTTTTCTTACCCATGAACAGATGACTGGAGATTCGGGCAGGTCGTGGAAAAAATATGGGCCGATTTATATTCAAAACGAGTCTCTCAGTGTGATCCAACCGGTTCCTTACCAGACTGCAAAAGGAAATCTACGAGTTCTATTGAGATCGTTTGATGGCATTGGTCGAGTTTGTATGTCAGAATCCCTTGATGGTGGCGAAAACTGGAGTTTTGTTGTGCCAACTGATTTACCCAACCCAAATTCAGGTTCAACAACATAAACTAGACGACTGATTGACCTTTTAAACCATTATATGTGTGTTTTTGTTGCAAACTAACCATTTTATCTGTAAAAATACCAAAACAACACTATAGTTTGCTACAATCACCAATTACGGGTGAATGGTTTTCGTTCATGGTGAACTAACAGGCATTGATGGCGTAAAGCTAAGTGATGGTCGGGTGATGCTTGCTTATAACACGGTCTCCAGGGCCGTGCTAAAAGTTGCGATCTCAGCAGATGATGGAGATTCATGGAAAGATGTCGTAACATTGGAGGAGACTGAAGGAATGGAATTCTCGTATCCAGCAGTTATCGAAGCAAGCGATGGACGTGTGCATATAACATATACGTATAACCGGACACAAATTAAGGTGGGATGTTTTAAGTTCCATAAATATAAAGTTTCTTGATTATAAGTTTGGTGAATTTGGACTAACTTTTGATGTTTTCAGCATGTTGTTCTTCAACCCAAAATGGTGCAGTGATGTTCTAGCGTACAGATCTTACAAGGGATCTTATGGTATTTTTCCATGGAACAGATTCGTTACAAAACGCTAGAAAAAAAAACTAATAAATCTTGATGCACGAGAGTCGGCCATTTGCTAATAATACATCTCATCCTTTACAGACGCTACTGTTTAGTGGAATATATTATGTTCATTTGGTTTGGCATTTTGTATATTTATACATCAATTTTAATGTTGATAACTTTGATGTATGTCAAGCAGGTGTGCTCATTCCTCTATACAAAAGGAGGACATGCTAGGTTCATCTCAATTAGGACCTGCCAAACCAACCATCTCCCTCTGGTTGACAAGTTGGAGGACCGGTTCGAGGGTTAATGATAGTTAAGACCAACATAGGACTCGAGACCTAACCCTACAACCGGTTACTAGAGAACTGGATTTCGTGATCAGGCCGGGTTGACTGAACTGGGCCTGGACCGTACCTGGTTATGGCCCAAACTGATCGGTCCAATTAACCTGTCGACCCAACCAGTTAAGCCATTCAAAATACAAACAGATCCACAACCAGAACTATATACACACACACATAGAGGGAGAGAAACTCGGGTTCATACAAGAATGATACCTATTTAAAAAATAAGAGAATGACTGAATCACATGTGATTTTACACTAACATCACGTATAAAATCACGTGTGATTCGCACGACCTTGCCACACGGCCATGGGTCGGCTGAACACGTTTTTGACAGTTAATGTAAAATGACTAAAATCACATGTATCATTCTCTTATGTTTTAAATATGTATCATTCTCTTAAGAATCTACCTTTCTCTCTATATACACATTATATATATGCACATACATTACACATAGGGTGCACGCGGGTTGGGTTGGGCGGTTTACAACATTTTTACAACTCAACCCAATTGTAGCGGTTTTGAAAAATCTCAACCCAACCCAACCCATTCAAAAGTATAACCCAACCCAACCCACCTTTGCGGGTTGAGGCGGGTTGGGTTGGGTTGGCGGGTTAGTAGTTACATAAATTTGACGAATGAAATCATTCATAAAACTTAAGTTTATAGACCATACTATAAATCGTCTCATCTAAAAAGATTACAATAGGTTTATATGACGTTTTTGGACGCTTCAACAAGTGTTTTAATATGATATTTAAATAAAATGTCGTATTAGTTATTTTATATAAATATTTTGAGAAGTGTCCCTAAAACTCATCTATTTATAGGACACCTATGTTCATATACAATTTTCAAGTTGAGTCATAAAATAACTAATATGATACTTTATTTTAAAAGCGTCATAGAATTTGTTAGGACGTCCAAAATCATCCTATAAACATATTGTAACTCTTTTAGATAAGACATTTTTCTTGTTTCAGTTTATAAAGAATCATATTAGAACGCTTAGACATATATTAGCGGCGGTTTGACGGGTTGGGCGGGTTGAGCTAGGCCCAACCCAATTTCAACCCTCCTAATTGGCGGGTTAGCGGTTTGACGGGTGGGCGGTTTGACGGTTAGGCGGGTTGAGTTTAATTGGGTTGTTAGCGGTTTGGGTTGGGCGAGTTTCGCGGGTTGACGGTTTTTTGTTCACCCCTAATTACACATATTACATTGTTTTTCCTTTACTTTTTATTTGTATTTATAATCAAATAAATAGAAACTTATTTGGTAGGAGTATATTTTGCTGTTTAATTTATTAATTATATAACATAAATGGATTCAATCATTTGAAAACTTTAAAATTTATTACTCGGTTTGCACATGTCTACCGGTTACAATGTTTAAAAGACACCGGGCCTCATTATTAACGGACTAAGACACAACCATAGACATTGAGCTTTTGGTTGAACTGATTGGTTCAACCATTTTAACTTCTGTTTTTGGTAACTATGAGTTGTCCAAGTTAGCTTGCATGTACATCGACTAATATGATGAAGCCCTAAAGATAGTGAAAAACATCCGACTCGAACCGGCGACCGCTCCAAAGCATAGCATTTATTTGTGAATTGAGTAGACTCTCAAAGTTGCTTCTCAATTGTTAGATGACACATAGATTTAATTTAAAATATAGTACATTAAAAATAAATACAGAAACTACATAAATGTGGCGTTTTTAAATACAAAGGTTGGTTGTGTGATTTGATTTTGAGGTTTAGAAGGTCATATCTTTGTCTATTTCATAGAACTCTATGTTCTTGTACTTCTGAGAAATTATCTCTGCTTGAACTTTTCTTGCCGTGTCTGTGGCACAACCAACAAGAATCAGAACCGATGTACCTGCGAATCCACGAAATGCCGTCAAGTGTGTTGTTTGTTCCACCACAGCCGGCCCAGCTGCAAGAACTGCCAAAAATACCGAACCTAAAACTGATATCCGACTCAGAACCTGGATACAAATACGACGATTTTGGATGAGAAGTGTTAAGCATGATGTTTCTTTTTGCTTACTTTTTAAGAAAAGATGCCTGTTTTTTGCAAGAATGATGGTTTGTTTGCAACAAAAACTTGATACGATAAAAAAAGAAAATCATGCAAGATTGGACATTACCGTTTTGATAAATGCCGCTGTACTTTTCCCAGGTCGTACCAGGGGAATGGAGGCACCTTGACGCTTCAACTGTTCGCTAACGTCATCAGGGTCCAATTGTAGGAAAGTGTAGTAATAGTTAAAGAAACCTATCAATAAAATGTTCGTCGGGAGATAGAAAGCACCTACAACATTTCAAATTATAGTTAGTAGAGGAGCTTGAAAACAATAAAATTTGATCCAAACATTCAATAATGCTTTTAAGACGCGTACTTTGGATGTGGATATCACTTAACAGTACATGCCTTAAAAAGAATCATTCGACTGATGATACAAAAGGTTAATGTTTTTGTCATAGTCTTACCCCCGGGGTTCAAACCAATAGCAGCGTTTTTTAGCACGTTTAAACCAGTAAACCGTGCTAGAGTGGCAGGAAGAGCTAACGATGACGTGGAAAATATAATTGGCATAACTCCTGAACTGTTAACCTGACCAAGTTGTGCTCAAATATTTCAATAAACCATTAGTTAGAAGGGTGATGGAAATCAAACAGTGTGTGACCTTTCTGGTCAAAATAGGAGTAATCTTGCTAGTTATTTCAGAAAAGATACAAACCTTGAACGGCAAATAAGCAGATTTCTGAAGCCCGCCTGCTTTACTACTGTATCTCGAAGCATAATTTATAGGAATTTTTCTTTCGGCTTCCTGAAAGGTTTCGACAACACCAATGTTACTTATTGCCAACTATGTTAATCCCTTCTCTCATTATTCTTCTTTTCGTTTATTTTTTGACCAGCATGTATTTTGTTAACCTACCTAGAATAGGGCGAAATGTATCAAAATGCAACAAAGTTCGCCTTAATTCCTATTTAGTATAACAAATATTTTTTTCCTCGATCAATGAAATAAAGTTTCAACATTTCTTGTTTTTTAACCCATTTTGACTTGTAACCTGCTGATCTTGTATGATTTGAAGATGTGGATGTCAAGTTGATCGCCCATCTCACCATGACGCTTTCTAAACATTTCATGAATGAATAGTTTGTAAACAGGTATCACGTCATCAAATGTTACAAGTCAAAATGGTTACAAAATAGAAACATCTGAAACTTTGTTGCGTCGATTGAGAGAAAAATATCGTTACACTAAATAGAAACTAAACCAAACTTTGTTGCATTTCCCTGTAGAATATTAACTTTGAGCGTGACCCCTCTGCCTGATAAAAGTTGCAACAGTCAACGGAGCAAATAGTACGAGAAGTGTGTTCGGCTATCAGTCAAAAGTCTTAAATACCCTTTAACAATTAGAAAAGATGGAATCTTGTTGAGCCAAATCAGTAGCATTCGTGATACTAACAATGGGTAAATAGGTAATATTTAAGAACATAGATATAAAAGAGAGGATGGGCAGTTGGTAATTACCTGAACATAGACGATACTAAGAACAAGCAGGAAGAAGGAGAAGATGATAGCAAGTAGGCCCAGATAGTTGCCATCCTGAAAGGCTTCTGCAACTGTTCTACCGAAGGATGCTGGCAAGTAGGAGATGATGCTGGTAAAAATGAGAAGCGATGTTCCATTTCCAAGTTTTAAATCTGTTATTCTTTCGCCAATATATGTTGTAAGCACCGATCCAAGTGTTAACAAAATAACAGAAGATAAGACCCATTGACTGCTGAAATCATCAACATAAGGACGAAGAAACAGTGCTTGACCAATTGCCTGCAAAGCAGAAAAAAAGCTGTATGTTCAACAGATTTATAGTTTGTAATGTAAAATAGTTGGTATTATTAGACGAAATTGCAATGATTTATTGTTCCCTTTTTAGGCATTTTTCCAAGTTAAAATTACATATGATCATCTTATACTATAGAACCAAAAAGGATAACGTTATCTTACCTGCACGACAGCAAATCCGACAGAAGCATATCGAGTATATTGAAGAATTTTCTTTCGCCCTGCTTCGCCTTCTCGTTTTTGAAGTTCTTGTAACTTGGGGTAAATTTGTGTAAGGAGTTGAAACACGATAGATGCATTAATGAATGGGACTATACCAAGGGAGCATATCCCAAGCCGGCCTATTCCTCCTCCGGAAAATGTATCCAAAGTACTTAATATACTATTCTGATCCAAATTTCCAGCAAATGCATCTCGATTCACCCCACCAAGAGGTATGTATATTCCAAGTCGAGATAAAGCCAAGTACCCCAAAAGCTTAAGAAATTTTCCGGGTAACGGTCCTTTGAAGAAATCCCCAAAATCAATGGAAGTGTCCTCTATTGCAGCTGTAAACAACAAAAGAAATCGACAAATCATGATGGATAGCTAAAAACAGCTCTTTTAATTTGAAACATGAAATATGAGCCATCAACTTTTGCAACCATCGTAGTTTTTCGGTAGCAAACTTGCCATTGATCTTGTAGAAATGCAAGAAAACGTTACACTTTGCAAGAATGAGCAACTTTGGATAAATTGTGATGGATGAAAATGCAAGTGTCACCATAGCACTTTACACTTTTTGTCCAAAATCATTATTCTTACAAAGTTTTGTGTTCTTTTTATCTTTTTCGTAAGAAAGATAATTTGTTTGCAACAGAAGACTAAATATGATGGTTTGAAAAGCTAATGATTCATAACAAAATATAGAAAAAGTTCATTAGATAAGATGTCAACCTGCCGCTCCTTTAGCTGAGGAAGATTTGTCGTTTCTTGTACCAGAGGTACTATCAAATGTCTCTGCAAACAAGCCTAAAACACTTTCCCACGCGGAATTCAGACCTGATAATTTACCTGAATTGATACCTAGCGGATCAAAATTAGAGCTCTCACAGCTGGAAAAAAGATAAAAATAAAAATTTGTCAAAATACTACAAATGCAACCGAAGCAAGTATATGAAGGTTGATGGTAAAAAATTGTTGGTGCATGAACTTCAAAACTAATTCCATTATTAGGAGTTCACTTGTAAAAAAATTATCATTCTTTGCAAAATGAAACTCTTACTAAGGGGATAGTTCTCAGTATCCAAGCAATACCCTGACGTTACATTGCTTTAGTAGTCATTTTTGTTAATAAAATGATTCAATGAATCATATACTACACCCATGTAGGGTCCAAAATATAATGATCATGATGGAAACAAGAACATCTTATGATAACCAAATCCCAAATTCGACCACCAAAAATCAAGAATCACCAAGCAGGACAAATTAACCTTTGATAAGCTAATGATGACCCTGACAAAAATATCATAGACCAAAAGTGTAGAATGTAGAGCCCCAATCCCAAAAGAGCAGATTGATCTGATAACTTCTAAATCAACTTTAAGACCTCGTTGGAAATGATTAGTAGCCACAAAATACTACCTGTAAGGGGTTCATGCTTCTAACTCACAACCATGTGGGAAAGATGTTACAAACTGTCCCACTTAAATCGCCAACATCGTCATGACAAATAGTCATTATCCAGAAGAGATGCAAGAGTCTGACTCATTACACCTAGATTGAACATCCCTCCAATACCATTTGTATCACCCCAAACCCAAAATAACAAATAAAACCCAAAAACTTCCATATCAACTTTAAAACAATGGTGGGATGTATTAGTAGTCCATAAACTAGGGTTTATAAGGGGTCTACAGTTCTCTTATAACCAATGAGGGGCAAGATTTCACAAAAACATAATATCCTAAAACAACAAAGGGATCCAATTTCCATGCTTGCAATGCTTCCTTGTTCTTGAAGAGTTGAAGTTCTCAATAGTCTTCATTCCATCCTTCCAAACATACGATTTCATCCTCTGACATCTCAAGCATATCCAACTTAGTTTAAATTCCTTTCTCATTAAAAAGTTTAGTGGCTGAATTCTTTTGCACCCATTATCTACCAACTTCTTCACAAAATCACTTCTCTTGACAGGTAAGGAGGTCTTGAAATCTTGCTAAAACCCATGGAGAAACCTTGTAAACTACATTAGTTCCATTATCCTCGAAACAACAACTATTTGTAGAACAAATTGAGATAGGAAGAATGGCAGGTGGGTAAGTCCATTTAATAATTTTTAGAAGAAGCTTGTCCAGATTACATGCTCCTTATATGTTTCAGGAACTTCGATAAAGAGCCCAAACCTTAACAAGCCGTCATAACTAGCCCCTCTCTCCTTATCTATGTTACTGGAGGAAGTCTACATGATTAAGAGATAGAATAAGTTTCGGGTAATATACTACTCTTAAATCTCTTTCGGAAAGTAATAATTTCCATTTACAGATGTCCCATAGTCATATGAAATGTAACATCTTCATATTTGGTCAAGTTTTTTAAGCTCCAATGATCTATTCAACCTCAAAGTTCCATCAATATCGAAGTACCTACATGGTCCATGAAGGACTGAGACTTTCTTTCAAAGATCAAACTCTTCAACAAACTGAAGAACCCAATAGATTTGTGTATTAATATGTATAGAACTGATTGATGTCTTCAAACAACTCACAACTAGCAAGACTCAAACAAATCAAGACACAAAACACCAAATTTCCAGTGAATTTTTAGGACACGCTTGCAGTAATAAGGTGTAATTGATCTCCAATCTTACTCATGAACACCAACTTCCATAGAACTTTTAGGATGACCCGCTCGCGGTAACAAAGTGCAAGGTTCCAACCATTATCAAGAACAACAAAATTCAATTTTCACCCATGGACGGTGATGAAAAGTGCAAATAATGAACACCGCACGAATTCCCAACAAAAATGAATTTTTCAAAACACCCATTTGCAGGGTTCAAATTAGATATGAGGAAATCAAATAACATCTGGAAAGTGAAAAAGGCGAAGAAGGTTTTGCAGCACATACCTGGTGGAGGATGAAGATAATGATAAGAGAGCGTTGGATTTTCCGTGGACAGAAAGTGTAGCTCTGCAAATGGATGAATTGTTTCGAAGATTTCTAGACGTATGAATTGAAGTGCGAGATTGAGTTGGTAAGTTGCAAGAAAGAGACCATGAAGATGCAATTTGTCTTCCTGTTAGCAACATTATCCCAACTTCCTATCTGGGTTTGAGCGGGTTCATACAAACGTTTGCAAGTTGGGGTTTGCATTTGAGTACATTTATTTGATCTCACAGAATAATCGAGGTCAGATGTTAAAAACTAAACTTTGGGGGCATTTTAACCACCAAGCAACCCAAGTTCCAAAATATATTGAAACTGAATTTAGTGGTGTTTGGAATTGCTTATAAAAATAATTTATTGACTTATTTTGGTGTGACACAAGTAATAAGTACTTTTGAATGTTTGGATAAATAACTTATATCAGTGCTAAATTGGTAATAAGAAGTTAAACTCTTCTGACTGATAATAAGCTGATAAGTACATTTGTAAAAAAACATAAGTTGTTTCATATAAACAATCCCAAAGACCCCCTTAAAAAGAGGGTGATAAGAATTATAATGACAAATTTCTTTGATCAAATTTTTTATTAATGAATTGAATTGATTGGATTCCGTCGAATTTAATGACCAAGAGATTTGATAATTTCTTAATATAAGTAAAGAATTTGAATTCCATTTTATAGCAAATATTATAATTTGTTTTTAAAAGACAACAATAACTTTTACATCTAATTTAGCCATCACTTACCACTCTCGACCACTCTCACCATCCCTATTGCGCCCCCCCCACCACGCGCCATCATCTCCGTTCCATCGCCGTTGCCGCCACCCCTACACCCACCTCACTCACCCCAACCAACCTTCATTGCTGCCACCATCATTAAGTTGTTGTTATAACCGCACCCAGCCAACCCATTGTCAACACCATACCCACTACTATTCATTGTCACGACTGTCACCACCATGTTAATACTATCAGTCTTTCATCACCAACCACCAGTGGCGGAGCCAAGATCTCGGTCTAGGGGGAGCATCAATTTGAAATTAACAAATAAATATTAACTTTTTGATAATTGCAAAAACAATATTATTGTATTTTTTAAATACAAACGTATGTGGTTTCATTAGTTAGCTCGATGAGTTTTCAGTTTATGAAACTCATCTATGATGTCTTCATTATCTACTTCAACAAAAACATCTTTTTCACTATAAGAAACCGGACATTAATTATCTAAGCCTCGCTTAAACAAACAATTTTCTAATTAATAAACCTTAATCAGTAATTAATTAAAAAATAACAATAAACAAACAAACAACTTATTATAGACAAATAAAAATTTGAACATGCAAAGATGCAAAAGATTTATGTAGTAACTTTTTATTGTTAGTGTCACTCTGCTCCTGTAGATTTGTAAGGCTCGGGATGGGCAGAGGACCAGAATGAGAACAATCCGGTTCGGGATCGATTGTGACTGGTATGAGACCACTGGTTATGGTTTTCATCCAAAAATAAGGCATGGCCTGGCCCGGCACGGTCCGGGACCGGTTATAGGCCCGACCTGATTTTTTTTAAATGTATTTCTAGCTTTCTAAGTGTATTTAATTGAAAATCAAATTACAAATGTACAATAAAACATATTTTTTTTATGTGTATTTGATTGAAAACCAATTATAAAACTATAATAAAATGTAATTTTTAAGTGTATTTGATTGAAAACCAATTATAAAACTACAATAAAACGTATTTTTTAAATGTATTTGGTTGACCTAATTAGATATTTTAAAGTATATTAGAATAACATTAAAATATTTTTACAAATTTATGAAAAATAAATTTAAAAGATATATATATATATAAAAGGAAAATGTTTTTAATATAGAACCGGTTTGGGCCCAGCTTAGGACCGGGATCGGGACCGGTTACAAGTACCCTTAACCGGGCCTCGGGACTGGAACCGGAATCGGTTACATCGAGATCGATCTGGATTGTTACTGTTTAGGACTGGGACCAATTTAGGCCCGACCCGGCCCAGAACCGGTTTTTGGCCATCTCTAAATTCACATTAGTGATTCAATAGCAAAAAATTATGAAGTATTCTTTTTAGCCCATCATAAAAATTACTACATTTAAAAAGTTAAGGGTTAACAGCTGTTATCCCTTATGATAGTGTAGCTCCGCCCTGCCACCACCCCTACGACCCCCACAGCCCCCACCCACTAATGTCACCGTTACAACCGCCACCTACCCCACCCCCCAATACATGTACATTCCGAAAAGATTTGCGAAATTCCATTTCAAATCCTATGAACCAAGCGTGCGGTCAAATTTCATTTCAATTCCTTCAAAGTCAAATTTCTTTCTTGGATTCCAATTTCACTAAATTTCATTATGTAAACCAAACACCCTCTTATATTTTTGGTGTCTATGTAATGGGCGCTCCTACATAGGGACATATGGTGGTCTGTTTGCTTTGTGGCTTCGTTAAGATGAAAAAAGTACATTTTTATACTTTAAGACTGTTTATATCAAAAGTTTGAGCTAGTTAAAAAAATTCTCGGGTGCTTCATGCCTGTGCCATACTCAAATTTTAGATATCTTCCTGTAATCAATTAATTAATTGTTATTGTTTGACATCATGTGTTGAACGATGATCCGAATTCATATTAGAAACAATATGACGTTTGCTTTTATTAAAAAGAATTTAAAATAAAAATATATGATTACTAATAACACATATAGTGTTAGGTTCAAGTGAAAATTCCAAAACTTTATGAATAAGATAAACAATCTTAATCACTGGTTTAAAATTTCTATTTTCAAATCTTTTTCTTTAATTATTGACGATTTTACAATCTACAAATTGAATTAAATTTCATATATGAACATGAACATCAATGTTTTTCATTGGTTCATACGTAAACATGTGAATCTTAATATAGGTTCATATGTGAATCCTAACATAGAATCTTAATTATAATTTGTATGTGAGTCAATTTAGAAACTTATAATAGAGATTTTGAATTAGTGTAAAACTAATATTTGAACATGTGAATGGTAACATAGATTTAGATGTGAATCATAATTGTAACTTATACGTGAATCAATTTACAACTTATAACCGAGAATTTGAATCAGTTTAAGATTCATATGAAAATTTTAATATATATATATATATATATATATATATATATATACGGAAGGGTTCAAACAAGAACACCTTCATTTTACAAGAACGCGAGAACATCCTGTACTATAGACAATCACATGTGATGCTATTATTCTATCACATATGATACACATGTGATACTAAATCAGAGATGTGAACGATTTTCAATGCAATCTTGGTTGCGGGCCAAGTCGTCCTTACACCACTAAGTCCCCTCACAAGTATTATCACATGTGATAAGGTGGTTGTTTATATGATACTATAATCCATCAAGACCATCACATGTGATGCTAAATCATAGACGCATACAATCTTTGGCACGACCAAAGTCATTATTTATAAGTTTTGATGTTGTTTGTACAAGTGTGTAAAACATTTAAAGATAGAAAAAAAACTCATAAAGTGTTTAAGGTATTAAACAGTAATTAATGAGGATGAAAATAAAAGAAACTGCTTGTTTATATAATATAATAAGCCTATTCTCCAAGAAGCCCAAATTTCCGTTACTATAAAGTGAAAATTCATTCTCATTCTCAATTTCTATCATTCTCATTCCTTTGTCTGAACCAGATTAAACCACTCTCCTTCTCCGGTGAGAATAGATTGCAACCGTGAAGCTCAACCCCCTCCCCCTTTTGTTATCGAGTGTTTCGTGAATTTGATCAGTTCTCCTTCTCCACCATGCATACAACAAGAACAACACTTCTGAAGAATACAATGGTAGAGGTATAGTAAAACATCATTGTCTCCGACAAATCATAATCGCTGAAAGGTGAATTCAAAACTACGGTGGGCGAAGGAGGAGGTTACAAATCGATTTAAGTAACCGAGCCCTTGTGGACCCAATCAGTCATAACCAGTCTCTCCTTAAGATGTTACCAAAATCCTTCAGGGTTCGGTTAAGCCCAAACTGGTCCCTAGGCATCTATCTCTAAGTACAATTCAAGCACCTTCCTAATAAACCAAACTTCAATTTACTCTGTTAACAAATACCACAAAAGTTAACCAACAGAACTACCATATTTTTTAAGCTCTATCCATGTCAAGACCCTCTACATTTACTTGCTTGTATATTTTACAAACTTTTCGCTCATCCATTAAAGTCCTCAAATATAAAGGCTAACGTTCGTAAATACATCATACTCGGTCAGGGTTGCATCCGCCAGAACCCAAATTCTAGAGCACTACGAATCCCACTCCCTCAGTTACCATATAACTTCAGATTTTAACCAAAAACAATCTAGATTCAAAATCAGCTCACCGGATTCTGGTGTCATTTTGTAAGTATATATATATATATCCTTTTTGTTCATCCAACTAACTGATATCTGGCTCAGCAGAAAAGTCTGGTTCTTCAGGTTTCTGCAATTTGGGCAATCCACCAGCACTTTTCAGCCTCTGAGCAGCTACTCGTCTTGTGTTGGCTGCAAATCTAGAAGCCAATATCGTGACTCCAAGGTTTGACTTCACTTGGGACGGAGGATCATGAGCATGTTGTTCTTGTTCATCATCATCGTCATCATCTTGTTGGTCGTCTTCTGGTTCATTCTGATCAACAAAGGACTCCATTGAAGAGAGGTATCTGGCCATCTTCTTCCTCTTATGCCTTCTCCAAGCAGCCTGTATGAAGCAAGCTGCCCATGTCCTCCAATGGTGGGAGTAATGCCTAAAAGTATGCTGCAACTTCTTGCTGTGTAGTCTCCTGAACTGATTGGCAACAAATTTGAGATCTTCAGCTCGTAGAGCGAAAGCTTCGACTTCTGTAAGGGATCGGACGGTTCTGGTTGAAGAAGGTAAGTTGACTGTTGACTTTGGATGCAAAGCCCATGCAAGAAGTTCTTCCCCACAAAAATCTCCAGGCCTCATAATGATGGAATTGAAGAAGCCGGTTCGGCCACCATTTGTTGTGGAACTTTCGAGTCTGCCTCTGATGATGAAGAACATCTCTGTCACCGGATCTCCTTCACGAACGATGTAAGCACCTTCTGTGCTCAAGGAAGAAACAAGACGCTCGCATATTGCATCCAGTAATTGGTCATCCATCTGGGAGAAGAATGGGACCTACAATATGCAAAAAGATATGAACTTTAATATGTTTATTGGAGCATATAGATAAAAGAGAGAGAGGAGATATTCTTCATATAAAGATTTCTAGAAATCGGCAGACAAACAATTCTTGGTTGAAGGCATAAACTCATTAGCATGATAGTGGAAAGACAAGTGGGGGTAATTATGTGGACAAAATGCATAAAAATACAACAAAGTTCCCTTAGTTCCTATTTGATGTACAAAGAACGTTTTTTTTATCAATCATTGTAACTAAGTTCCAAATTTCTTATTTTGTAATCATTTGACCTGTAACCTGTTGATCTTGTAACATTCAATGACATGGATATCAAGTTTATCGTCCATTTCGCCAAAACCATTTCATGAACAGTTATCCATGTCATCAAAAGCTGGTTACTGGTCAAAATGAGTACAAAATAGGAAAATTTGAAACTTTGTTACATCCGAGAAAAAAATTATCCATTACTCTAAATAGGAACTAAACAAACTTTATTGCATATTGCCCTAATTATGTGCATGAAAATATGAAAAAAGAGTTAGAGATGATACCCGGCAAACAAGGTCCAAGCATAGGTGCCGTTGGATATCCCTGCGAAGATCAGCAGGCAAGCCATGAAGGATAGCTTCTTCATGTACCCCTCGAGTAGCGACCCACTTGTATTGGACAAAACGCCGAACACGTTTTCTCAAATCTTCAGGGAGTTGACGATGCCTCATCCACTCCTCAGTGTCTCTTCGCCTAAGTCTCCATTCCTCAAGTCTCATTGTCAACGACTGCAGGTAGGTCTGCATACACCACAACGTATATATTGAAAGTGTTAATAACTTCGTACACAGATGATAAAGAATATCAATTATGCTAATATAAACTCTTTGCAAGCATAAAAAACCTAATCAACAAAATGGGAACCAGAAAATATGTATATGCAAGAACCCATGAGGAGAAATGTGGCTTAAAATGACCAAAACTCAGAATACTCCAAGTTCAATTTTCTTAAATTTTTTATGGCTGTCTTAACATAAGTCCTATATGCAACATCTGTAGATTACTATTTGCTACTCATATACATGTAGCAAAGGTTATGATATTTGGAGAAAAACAAAAACACATGGCTCAATCCTCATTAGTTACTGATATGCTCTAGCTTCCAAGAATGTTCTACATGCTTCTACTCCTTTTGTCCGATAAAAATTGTGGTAATACCTTTTCACATGCATTGTTAGGAGCTTCTGGATCCATCTAATAAAAAACCCTGCCATTTTTTTTTATTAAAATGTTCTGAATTTTAAGCGCATTTGTGCAAATGAAAAAGGAATACTTATTGGGATTGAGGAGCTCCAAAAGATAGCAAGTGACACGATTTCTAGAAGATAGAAGGTTGGCTTAAAAATTGACCCATCAGAAATTGAGGTTAACCAATCTTACGACAGCTGTGACACTTGCTATGATTTATGGAGCAGATTATTGGGTCACCAAAGAAGCTCTAGTAGGAAACCAATCCTAACCCTCTCCTTTTTGTCTCTCCAATATCTAAAAACCGATGTATACCCTCTTCCCAAATCTTGACTGTCTGTTCCCTCCTCCTTGATGTTCTACATGGTTACATAGCAAATTGCCTTTAAGCTTTCAGTCTTTCGTGCTCAACTCCATCTGTCGATACAGCATCTATGGTAACACCTTCACACTCCTTTCATGTTCACACTCCTACTTCTATCCTCCTTTCTGCATGCCTATTTCTTGTCTCTCTAATCAGTAAACACAAACGTATGTTCAACCTAAAGGCTTTCGTGACAACAGGAGCAAGGTTGCTCGTCTTTACACTCTTGTGCTCTAATCAGCATGGGTGACACTTGTAAGAAATTGCAATTTTCTACCATCTACCAGTAATATCTATCATTACAATCTCAAATACAGAGGTAATAACTAATAAGGATATTTGGATGGCTACTCTCTTATAACATTTAGTTACTGTGTGCTGGTTCAGGGTGAAAAAGTTGTAGGTTCCATATAATATTTCCACAATCACAATAGTATGAGGGGTGATTCCAGCGCACAGCCAGAACATGAGGAATCTACATATAACGTTAAGTAAGAGGCATACATGATTCTTACAATGATAAGTGAAAGTTAGCAATTTTTGGCAAAATACCATCCATCACTACACAAAAAAAATACAGCTACTGCCTCCATACCAAAAGAATGCAACATTTGACTTGGCAAGTAGTTAAATGAAAATGTTTGACTGTTGACCAAATGACTAAAATGGCCCTTTTTAAAGACAAAATAAAGAAAAGCAGGTGGCCCGCCATCAAAGTTAATAATTTCAAGCAATAAGTAACAAAGTGCAAAAACGTCAGTACATTAAGAACTTACCCAAAAAAAATGTTGCATTTTTTTAGCGAAGGGAGTATTATACAGCATGAATGTGGATTTCATACATGAATCCTGTTTTTGAAGAGAATGTATGCACAAAACTTTCAAAAATAGAGGGATAGCACCAACAAAATGTTACAAATTACTTTAGTCTATTTGACTTATATCAATGATGAAGTCTTTCCACATACCTGCATATTGCCAATCAAGTGTGCAAACAAAACAAGACCAACAATGGCAATGAGTATTGCAAATGATGTCTCTCCTATGAATGTGCTTGTTGACAAGTTCTGCCCATATGAACTGGAGAACAACATAAAATAAAATACAACAAATAATTAGTTATTACTATTACACATGACATGTAAATAATTGTTTAATTATTCCAAATAGCACACAATTTAACTTTATGTTGCAAGGATACGGGTATTTGATATGTGGGTGTTGGGATTCAGAGATTCTAAAAAAATTAAAGATCCAAGGGTGAACAATTATGTGTGTACGTATATGTATATACAAGAAAAGAATCAGTTCACAGTTCATACATTAAATATAAATTAATGCTAAAGCTAAGACTAGTGTCACCTCCTTCTTAAGCTAACCCCTCATCTCGTTTTTTTTTCCTGACCAGTTGATCTCTATACGACCACACTGCCACTGCCACTCTTGACCAACTCATCAATGTCGATCTAGACTTCAAAGGCCATACTTGGTGATCCTTTCAAATCTATTCCGGCATTGCTTCATCCACCCTTGCTTGACCGAATCAAGACATCGGTGTTCCTATCCACCTTCTCTTCAACATGCTTTGTCTTTGGGGTCCTTCCAATGGTTTCGGGATCATTTGGTAGGATTATTTTGCTTTTTAGGTATCTCTGTCATGGATTGACCATCTGCTTCCTTCTCCATCAACTCGGCTTGCTCAGAGGATTGTCACGTCATCTTTAAATTATTTCTTATGGTTGTCTCGATGTCATTGTAATGTTGCACTCTCTTTAGTGGTTTGGTGGTGAAGACCCCCGGCTTGTAAAAAGATTTTATGAAAAGAAATTGTAAGTTCTACACAAGATTGAAATAAAGGAAGGAGAAACGAAAAAGTAACAAGAACAAAAAACAAAACGTAAAAATAAATATGGTCATCCTAGAGCTTAGCTATCTCCCACCTACCCTCTACCCCTCATCCCCTCCCCACCATAAAAATACCACAAGGCCCTACACTCAATCCGCCACCCTAGTCAAGCGCCTCCACAAACACCTATTTGAGGTCATCTTCCAAAATGCCTAAAGCCACCATGTCTAGTCTCAGGCACTCCTTCCATGTCCTCCTCAGTCTGCCCCTCCTCCTTACACCCTCGAGCCTAATTCTCTCCACCCTCCTCATCGGAGTCGACATTTGTCGTCTACGAACATGCCTAAACCACTGCAATCTTCCATCTCTCATCTTATATACAATATGAAATAGACGCTGCTCCCAACAAAGCTCGAAAAACCTCGTTCAAAATTTTATCCAACATGGTCCTACCACAAGTCCATCGAAGTATCCTCATTTCAGCCATCTCCATCTTCCTCTCCTTGTACTTTCTAAACTGGCCAACTAGGGGTGGGTATTGGGCGGTAATGCATCCCCCAACCCCAATCCCCGTCTAATCCCCTCGCCCCACACCCGCCCCGACTATTTCACAACAGGTTCAGGGAACCTATTGGGTGCCCGTTCAGTAAAAAATAATAAAAATAGCGTATTTTAAAATAAACATTAAAATATATCATCACTAACTTAATTACCAAAATTTAAAACCATATGTATTTGTTATATAATAATAAAGATATATAAATAAATATATATACACACACACATATATATACATATCTTTGTCAAAATAAAATAAATAATCGGGTTTGGATTAGGGGCTGGTAGTGCCATTCCCAACCCCGGCCCAGACCCAGATAAACCCCTTTCTCCAAGCCATTACTTGCCAAATCGGGGAATCCCTGCCCCGTTGGGGTTGAGTACCCGCAGGTACCCGTCCCTATGGGTAAAATTTCCATCTCTATGGCCAACACTCCATCCTATACAAGATGGTACGATAAAATTTCCCTTAGCCTTAGCGGGACCTTCTTGTGACACAACACTCTAGTTGCAACGCTCTATTTTAGCCAACCAACCTTTATGCATTGAGTAACATCATCCTCGATCCCATCCTCATTCTAAATCATAGAGCCTAGATACTAAAACTATCCTTTATGCATTGAGTAACATCATCTAAACACTTAATTGTATCACAAGCCCAACTATTTAAACAAGAATCAAACAATCACATAAGCATATACATAATAAAGTGTCAAGGGAATCCTATATATCACAAAATGCAATCTCCAAAAGGACATCTAAAGATAATAGTTGTAGCAAGAATGATAAAAGCTAATAAAAACCATAATAACCGGCGCCAGCCTCCCCATCACTAAACGGTTGACGACCCAAGTAAGCACACAACTCCTCATGCATCATAGACTTATCCATCGTGCATGATTGCAAGTCAGTTTGCACGACCCCTTGTTGATGGAGTGACTAAAGCAAGAACAAACACCTTGACACCATGAAGTCAGGTCCTCTTGATGCCAAGTTTGGGATTCTAGAAGCGTCCCCTAGGAAATCCTCATAGAAGTGCTCCATAAATGGATCTGTTGGGGGAAGAGGAGGAACCATGAGTATAAGACCACGGCAGTAGATGCGAGGAGGCATTGGATGGAAGGAGTCTTTGTTAAGCTAAAATCATTAAAAAGAAGAGAGGGCTTCCCAATGTGACCGCTCAAAGGAATGCCAAGACTAGTAAACAACTTGGCCAATAGATAACCATAAGGAAGAGACCTTTTTTATCCGGTTGGGCTTCAAGGATATGATTGATGACGTGAGGCGCATTTGCTTCTATGCCATTAATGAGGCAATAAAGTAGATAGAACTAAAGAGACGCAAGCCAACTTGTGTCCCCATTTTGACCAAGGACATTGAATATCAATATCTTATTTAGAAAAAGATTGTGGGATTAGATTTCAGGTGTAATAGAGACTTGGAGAGGAGCTAAGATTGCCTCACAATTAAGTTTGAATGAAAAGAAAACGGTGAAAAGAGGTCAGAAGATGATGAATACGATTGTCCAATTGACAAAATTCGATAAGCTAGTCAAATTCATCCTTAGACCGGTGATAGTGAGTGTCATGGAATTGAAGTGGGAGAAGCTGATTTGGTTCATCATACTCAAAACAATCATAGCATTCTTTAATAAGTATCACTGACGAGACCATCAAATTGGAGAGAGGTTCCCCGAACGATTTGATTAAACATAGCGTAGATATGGGCATATAGCTTTGTTCATCACAAGGCTTTCAAGATGGACTTGTCAACCATGTGCGATAGAACGGCCATCAATAATGGAATGACGTTCATCCTGACAAGCTATATGTTGCTCATCGGGAGAGGGTTCTGCAGAGGCAAGAGCACATGGGGCTGGAAATCTCCGACGTTTTGGAGCCATTCCTAAATCACATATTCAAACAAACACCAATGAGCCTTAATGCATGCAATGCCTAGTGTAGCGACATGTTAGCATATGTTTTAACATACACTTTAGTTTCTATTTCACATGCATAAAACATTTATATGAATTTCACATGTTTACCTAGATCTAATATGCATTTGATAAGGAAGCAACAAAGTGTAATGATATGTGCCCTAGATCATGAATGTAGTAAGGGATTTCAAGGTTACCAACAAGATATCGAGAGAAAGAAACGGAATAGAAGCAGTAGCAGAAACAGTAGCAGAATCTAATATGCATTTGATAAGGAAGCAACAAAGTGTAATGATATGCACCCTAGATCATGAATGTAGTTAGGGATTTCAAGGTTACCAACAAGATATCGAGAGAAAGAAACGGAATAGAAGCAGTAGCAGAAACAGGAGTACACAGATTAGAAGCACAATTACGACGACGATGCCGGACGTTGGTGAGCAAAAGGACAGAAGTCGCTGCGGCAGTGAGCGGAAGCAGATCAGAGGTTGGAGAAGAACATTACATATTGTGCCAAGGTTTGTGTTCTACTACGAATAACAGCTTATAATGGGTCGGCATCTCGAAAAGGGTCTCTGGGAAAGTGGACTAGCCAACTTGGTGAACCACTCTAAACAACTTTTGTTTGTTGTTTTTGTAGTGGGAACTTTTCTTGAAAAATATTTTAAAAGTGTCATTTACGACCTTACCCCAAATTAAGGTTGTCTAACACCATCCTCAAAAGGATCTTTATGATCCTTATCAATTCAAGTTCAATTTTGCCAAAAGAAAAAGTTAATAGCAGAATTTATCTTCCAATTTTTAGCCTTTGTTAAAAGTCGTCTCTTTTATTCCCATAAAAGGAAGAACAAGACGGCTCCTTTTGGTATCCCCATTATCATATCTCAGTGGATACGTGGGCAATAATTCGGGAATGTGGACAACTCTACCAGGGCTGCCCACCCTACAGCATTCCCAAAGTATGCACCACAAAAGTGTTGAAAATATGACACACAAAGCCATTTGGTGCCGGTGACTTGCACACGACTTTTTGGTCGCCCAGGAAGTCATTGGTATAAGGTTGAACCTCCGTGTACATTGAAAGCGACATGCAAGTAAATTGAGTGCAAGTTGTGAAGTCACACACTTGGGAGACGACAACATATACACAACTTTTGAAGTCCCCCAATCTATTGAACGCAACTTGGTCTTGCGACTAAGAATATCGCATTCTCATCACACGCACAAGGCTTGGAAGCTACAGTCCATATATAACAGCGACTTGCGTCCGACTTAAGGATTGCCTTCAATAGAAGACTAGGCGACTTGCCAGGTTGCCTAAAAGTCATGTAGAAGCAAGAACCAATATATGTTTGCCAATTAATGCTTGTTTCATTGGCTATCATAAGCCTTCCAAATGTTGCAATAACAAAGGCATAGCAAGAGCTTCTTTATACTTTGGTAGTGTAAGTTTATAACTCCCATTTGTTTTGTGCTAATATAAACTATTGTTCCTCTCCTATGGACGTACACTATCACACCGATAGTGGAATCACATTAAATGTTGTGTCTTTAACATACTTTTCAATATCTCCATTGCTTTATGAAGCCATGTGTTGCACATTGGTGATCATTGTTGGTATTTTGAGTTTGTTGAGCACATTTCCGATCCTTATGAGTATTATGTATTGTTGTTGGGTGGTTGTATTGATCTTGTTGTTAATTGGGAGTTGGGACCCAAGATATTGGTTGTTTTTGTGACATTTCCACCAACAAGAAGAACCAGATATCGTGACCAACAAGGGATTTAAGCGTCATCGATTCCACGAGCTTAAACCTGGTAAGACTATTGTTCCTAAGCTAATTCAGAGCTCTAGTAGATCAGAAGGCAGGATCTTCAGCAACAAACTCTTGTTCCCACCCAAAATGAACAACCAGATAAACTTGGAAGAAAGGCATACCTTAGTTGTTGTAAGCCCCACCACAAACAATAGAAGTACTTGCGAAAGAAATTTGAGGAGATGACATTTTTCTGCACGGCGTTTTGAAATATTCCATACTTGAATTTATCATCATCAGCAGTACACTGCTTAAAAACGTTCGTTGTACCTGCCCAGTTTCTGTAACCAGTAAGATTAATACTGCTGCAATCAAGATATTCAGGTCTACATGTTCTTTCCGTTTTGCAAATAGATTTCCAGCAGGACAAGTGTCGATCAATTGATAGCAAATACCAAGCTGCGCCCAATACCTAATTAACAAGAAAAGCACGTGTCTTGTGAGGAAACCATGAAATGATATTGGTTATAATTTCAATATCAACTATAAAAGGCTGACAGGTATGTAAATCATATATACATACATGACTAGCCAGCATGTACAACATTAAATTATATGCAGCCCCTGCCCAAGCAGTTTTTGTGATAACTCCCGTTGCTTTGACCAGTTCAGAACTTAAAGGAAAAATCAGATATAATCTCGGAATATATTGTAGTAGAACAATCAATGCAAGGGCATTATTATTGTGATTAGCCCGCCGGTTCCTCGTTGCAGGTATGATGAACCAGATAACAATCTGCATAAGTCCCAAAAATATTAACACAAATAACAGAGTAGAAAGGAACAAAAAGAATTACTTATTTACATGCTCCATGGACAATGAATAAATGAAATAAATTTTTCACAAGGCCAACCACAAGAAGAGACACGTTTGGAACTTTTGACAAGGTTCATATTTGAGCTATACAAGGCAACTGCAGTTGTTGGTTCATAACCGGAACGCATAAAAGGAACTCTAATTCACTCTACTGTTTAAAAAAGCAACTTGATATGTTTTTGTATCAACTCTTCTATAACCAAGTCCATTCAGAGGTTTTATCTCATAGATCCTATTCGTCCAATGATTTAAACAACAAATGTTGAAAATTGAGCAACCCAACTGTACCAGAATTGTGTTAGATACAATAGCCAAAATCTATTGGTTAGATATGGGGAAGGTGATTGGATGAGTCAATCCACTGTAAACACACACACCTTTAATACAGCCATATGAGCAAATCATTCAAGAGGATTAATATCATTTAGAGCCATAGAGGTGTAACATTCCAAGTATGTCAATCTTGTGGTTTTTTATGAAGAGAAAAAACCTTGCATAGAGACTGCTATGACACTATTCGGGATATCTCCTTTTTCTTATGTATTTCTTCTTTTGTTGTTTTGTGGCTGTCATTTTGTGTCATATTTTAACCCACTTGATTGCTCCTAACTAGAGAATAGAAACATTTGGTTTCCTGCCACTATATTCAATTTGATGTGTTCTTGAAAGATGTGACCTGAAATTCACATTCTTCTTAAAAGCATGTTCATACAACACTTCCATACTTTACTAAGAAGTCGTGAATACACGAAAAGAACTCTCGGTACAAAGATGGCAACTTTGTAAGCAACTTCTAAAGACACTCAATAACTCTTGTTACATCATTTACCACAGGTGATGCGACTTGCCAATCTCGCTATCGGCTGAAATGGCATACCAGGAGACGTCATATGCAACTTGGGAAGTTGCCTACGAGCAGATGAAGGTTTTTATAGCCATTTTAGGTCAAAAATCATGGTTAACCTAATATACACCTATACACACATGCTATTTTCATTTTGTATTCATTTAAGCTCGATTCTCCATTACTTGTACTCAACTCTATCAATATAGTGGATTTCTCGGTGGCCTCCTCTGCCAGTGGTTTTCCCCGATTTGGTTTTTCCACATAAATCTTTGTGCCTCTCTTATTGTCCGTTTATACTTGTTGATTATTGAAAAGTTTCCAAGATGTTCCAGCACTTGCTGATCTCAGTTTATTGTTCTAGTGATGAAGATTGGGTTATTAAAGTTCCAATAGGTTGACTATTGTCGAGTATTTGTGATTTGGACTTGGTAGCTTTATTTGATTTGATTGATGAGTTCTAAATTGACAAAAACACTATTTATCACAAGAGCATGAGTGACTACTAAACTGACCCAGTATATCTTACGTGAGATATAAGCAGTCCTGACCTCTACCCCAAAAGAGTAGAGCGGTTGTTTCCATGGAGACCCCAGCTTGTGCAAGAGCGTGAGCGAACAGTTAGAAAGAAATAATAGTAGCAACATATTGACGAATTACAAGAAGGAGAAAAAGTAAACAATAAGGACATAAGGTATAAGGAAAACATAAGAAAAGACGAGAAAGAAAAAAAACCCACACAGCACAAACAAGTCCTAAAACACATTCCCTGCCTAAACTACCAGCACACTACCCCCAACCTGTCCAAATAACTTGAAGTTCTCAAACATAGTCTACTAGCCTAATCGTCCGTCTCCAAGTACACCTGTCAGAGGTCGAGGTCGAGGTCGAGGTCAAGGTCAAGGTAGGTCCTTGGAAATGTCTCAGGCCGCCATGTCCAACCTCAAATGTTCCCTCCACCTCGCTCCCTCGACCAACACTCTTTCTACTCTCCTCACAGGTGCCGTCATTGATCTCCTATGAACATGACCAAACCAAAGCAATCTGCCCTCTCTCAATAACCAACTCCGCCCTGAAAACCTCGTTCCGCTAATCCAACGAACCCATCATTTGAATCAACTAAGGTAAAAAATAAAACCTATGGGACGGAATCCTGTCTAACATGGTCCGACCATAGGTCCACCTCAGCATCCTCTTTCCACAACTTCCTCTCAACGGCCTTCAGTGACTACACATCACAAACATATTGCAATGCATGGCCCTGAGGCTGATGAGACATCACAAACATTGCGCGGGCAACCCAAATAAGAAAATATAAGTTTGGTTCCAGAGGAAAGCTACAATTCATTCCTTAAGATTCTGAAAGTACTCCTTGGAAGGAGTTGTGTTCTTCCATTCTGTAACAGATATAAAGTTAATCAGAGGGTCAAAATTGATGGTAATGAGAAAATTAAAACCCAACCCATATCTCATATCCTGAAAAAGTTAAACTAAGAAAGTGTGCATAAACAGAAGATGAATTTGAAGCTTCAGGTGAGAAAGGTACCCAGTTCAACTCTCCGAATGATTCTGTTCACAAATTACATGCTTAGCAAGAGAGAAGATATAGGGTCTCATATTATTCCCTACATTAAAAGAAAAAGAACTTGGTGGTTTAAATTAAATACCCATTTTTGCAAGGACCTAACTTCAAAGACGAAGGAAAATAAATTCTAAAGGAGGCACACAATCAACTGAACAAAGCCTCTAACACAAACAGGTTTGGGTTGGCTAAAAATGAGACTCGTAAGGAGAGACATAGACATGCATTTGATTCCCGTAGAAAACATCTTTCTTTCTTTTCCAGGTGACTAGCATTGGCATATACCTCTGAAAATATGAAAATCAAACGACATGCATCATCACATGATTAGTGCAGAAGGTAGAAACCGTAGATTTAGTAATTTACAGCCTTTTTCACTTAAAACTAATTTTCTAACTTAGTTCCCACACATGTTTATTATCTATTTTAATTACAACAGAAAGATCTGAATTACTTTCGTTTTAAATTTGGCCAAAGAATAAAGGTCTACAGTCCATAACCAAGCACAACTAATTTTTTTGACAAACTTTTTGTTTCTCACATGTCTTTCCTAAACCTCTTCATATGTGAGGGGTTTTCACGGAAACAGGAGGGGATTTCACAGAAACAGCCTCTCCACTCCTTGGGGTAAAAGCAAGGTTTGTGTACATTCTAACCCCAATACCCCACTTTTAGTGGGCTCTACTGGGTAGTTTTGGTTTGGTCCATAACCAAACACATTGACCTAGATAATTCCAATTATATGATTATGTCTAAGTATAAAAATGGATCTTTGTGACATCAAGTGGTGTTCTCTTGTGGATACAAAGTAAGAGTGTGTGTATACAATCAGAGCATATTTTAGGACACTTCTTCCGACACCAGTAGATATGTGCCATGCAGTTTTGCTAGTGAGCTTTTCGTAGCAACGTCATTTATGCCAAAGAGTCAATAGCCCAATGGCACTTGGGTTACCGTCAGATCCCAACCTCTTTAGAGGTCACGGGTTCAAACCTCGCCAATGGTGAAGAGTGTGTGTGAGTTATGCCGTATATAAATATTTTGTACTTCAAGAAAAGATAATTGATGGTAGAAAAAGGAATGTCATAAACGATGTACCTGAGGGAGAGGAAGTGTTGCAATCAGATCAATGAAGAAGTCGGTTCTAATATATCTTCGAGCAATCTTCTTAGGATCCATAACAAGTTCACCTCGCCCAAACACCCGAGAGCTAGGGGCAACATAAGCTGTCCTGAACTTAATTGCAACATGCAACATGTAGAACAAATCTGCCAAAGTGCGGAAAGTTGTCACAACAATCCGTAGATTCAAGTCCGTCTTGACACACCAGGAGTCTTGGCCTCCTTGCACACCAGGTAAATAAAAATATAGTGGATCAATAAATAGTGCCAGCAAGCACGAGACTATGAAAACCCGGTTCCACTTCAACACAATCTCACTACCCGGATCAAGTATTCGCTTCTGCCACGGCTCGTGGTCCTCAGGAAACAAGTTACTTGTTCCATGCTTAGGGGGGGAAGTGAGATTTCCCCTTACCGGTAACCCAATATTAGGTTTTAGCAGAGAGGATGGAACGTTGTACCCAGAAGATGACTTGTCAAGGTGTAAAGGCTCAGTTCTTCCCCATAAAAAATCATTCTTTTGCTTGCCATTAGTGTAAAACCTGCAAATATAATTATAAAGTACATTGATATCAATTGAAGAGCTTATCCAGAAATTCCAACTCCATAACTTCACAATCATATCAGGATTAATGGTGTGAAGCATTAGTTGGTTGTGCTTCAATTCCAATTCCATTCTTCCTCAGCTTTACTTTTTTTTACTTTGGGTCAATAGTTTACTGTTCTTGCAAAATCTTTTTGTTGTTAGGTATATTTACAAACACTTTACCGGCAACCAACCAACACCATCTTGAACCATACAAAAAAGCAGATTTTCATCATCACACACCTTTTTGGTTCCTTAAATCTGACTGAAATAAACAAGAATTGAAAGAGGAGAAGCTTATACATAATAGAAGATCGAATTTTAACGAACACCCACTTTCTTTTCCTCGTCAATAACATTAAAATTCCAAATATATGGGAAAATTAGCAAGAAAAGATTTATAGATCAAACTAACTTGACAAGCTTCTCCTTGTTTGGCTCCATGAAAGCTCCCGATTCTCGAAGATTATACACTAATATTCAGTTGCCGTTCACCAGTCACAGTCACCAGAAGACTATGAATACACACATACGCGTACAGAAACGAAGATCACCCAAGAGGACATAAAACATCATTAAAATTGAACGAGCAACGAAGCACTACAAATCATCTTTAAAGTACCAAAAAAGTAGCAAAAAGAAATCCAAAAAGAGGAAAGAAAAAAAAAAACCCTAATTACAGCACTGTTTGCAAGTAAAAATTGATGGGTTTGGGGGGAAAACAGAGAAAGAGTGAGAGTGACAGAGAGCAATTATTGGGTGATGGTTTTTGTTGCCAAATATCGTAAAGTATCAGAGGAATTTCAAAGCCACATTCTAGGAATGTCAAGGGAGGATTAAAGAAAGCAAACAAACCAGAAACTGAATTCTTACCAGTAATTTAGACACCAAGTGGTATTATTTGTGTGAGAAAAGTAGAGTGGAAGTATGGATTAAAAAATGTCAAAAACATAATGAAAATGGTGTCATAAGTCACGAGCAACCACCAAAAAGAGTTGAATTGTGGGCCAACTCATCGTCATGAATTCCAAGAACAACCATATTAAAATACTTAAATCTTTTTATTAAATTTTAATCACTATTTTTTTATGTTATTAATTTAAGAAGTTTTTATACAATAGAAATAAATTATGTTTTAAGCGAAATTATAATTTAATATTCTTTTTAAAGCAAGATATTGTTAAACGACAAATAATGGTGAAATAACAAGGAAAAAAAACGAACAAGATGCAAGACAAATGAACAAAATCACCTCAAAACATAACAACTAAAAACCAACCACTAAACCCAAAAAACAAGAGCAAAAGGAATTCGAACAACACTCCGACTAACAAAGCAAGTAGCTACCAAACACCTCCTAAGAGAAACCAATCATCAGCTAGCCCATGATCATTATTGGCGGGTTCAAAGGTGTAATAACTCAAGTTTCTTTAAGTTAATACTTGTCGTGGGTGAATTTTGATTAGTAGACTCAGAGGTTGTTTGTTTAGCTCTTAATAGTTCCATTAAGAGACAACCTCTGAATCGTTAAGAGGTGAATATTGTTTGAAGAAAAAAAAGTTTGCCTCTTAATGGTTCTAAAACTCTCTAAATGATTTTGTATCATGAGCCTCTCTTAGCCATTCAACGCCCTAATATCGTTGTAAATAATTACCAAATAATTATATTTCATTTTGCTCTATATCAGGAAAGCCTCTTAATCATTCTGACCACTTAATCATTGTGCACCAAACCATTCAGCAACTGTCAAACAGCTCATAAGTCTAGTTAGGGGTTGAAACTTGGGTCCATGTTTGAGGGGTTTACAAGCAAGTCCATAGAGGTTCTTTGGGGTTATTAACTCATCATTTGGTAATCACTCAATTCAGGTGTTCGGTTTGGTGTAATTCTAGACTGAAAGCGTCCGCCTAGGCTGGGACGTCAGGTGAATTTCTTTCGTTGTTTTCAATCAAGGGCATATTTACCATTTTATTGGATATGTATTTGAACTAAATTCTTATAGTGTGCTTGTTTCAAACATGAAATTGCTTAATTGCATAGCGTGAGTTATTAGCGTGGGTGTGTACATTAATATTTTAAGTACGAGAAGTGTATGCCTGAATGAAGCGCATGAATTTGATCCATGTAACTTATTAAAAGGGCAAGTGTGAGCCTAATCGCTTAAAGGTTTAATGGCGGGGACCTCATGGCCCCGTGGTCCACATTTTGTGAACCCTACTTGCCATACCTCATAAGCAAGCACCGGAAAAGACAACTTGTCCTCCCCTGGAATCGAACCCGGGTGGGCACGCCCAAGGCAAGGCATTTACGGAAGGAGGTGGCCACTAATCGCTTAGTCACAAGTGTGAGTGACAATAACTGATATCAAACATTCCAATGGGTGATGGTGTTTTACTTATTTGACATGTAAGCAAAATTGTTTTAATTTAATGTTTATGGAAAATTTAATATTATATTTTCATGTGATGGAGGGAACTCACTAGACCTTTGGTCAAATCTTCGTTTTTATAAAACTGAAAACCTTTTCAATGAAATACCATGTTGAAGCTCTAGCAAGGGTGAAGGGTAAGGGGCCGTTTACCAAACACTTACCCGGTAAGCAAAAATTAACACTATCATTTACTTACCGGGTAAGATTTTAGTCTATTAAAACGGCGTCGTATGCAACAATTTACCCGGTAAGCACTTACTGTGGTAAGAGTCATTGTCCTCACTTACCGGGTAAGATTTTTGGTCATTGTCTTGCTTTTACCGGGTAAGATTTTTGGTCCTTACCATATTCATCCGATAATGTAATGTGATTTGATAAGCGTTTACTCGGGTAAGCATTTGGTAAACGGCCTCTAAGTGTAAATCGGGCTTCCGAAGTGAGGGAGTCTTCTTCTAGATTAGATAGTCGCCTAGAATCTTATCTTTACTCTTGCAAATAAATCTCAGTTGTAGACTTTATTTTCTTCGCTGCAACTCTTGAGATCGTATTGTATTGTAGACTTATTCCTTACCGGTTTTTAGTAAAGTTTATGAATTGTCCAAGTCGATTTTTCGATTGTTATAGAAACATCCATTAATGAATACAAATTTGGTATAAGCAAACTTCCTCGTCAATAACTCTTGATCAAAAAGGAGCCAACAATAGTGAGCCAAGCCAAAACCACATAGACTAAATAGAGTAGAAAGAGCCAACCTGAATTTACGAAAGAAACTTGCACCCTGGATAACTGAATGAGAGGATATAGAATACAATGACAGTGTTCAAAATGATCCCCAAAGAACAACACGCTATCAAAAGGCCTATCCATCAAAACCGCTATTCCCACACCATTTCGAACCCATCACTGTCTCGGTTGTGCTACTGGAGGCTCTAGAAAAGTTGGAATAGGAGAGCACTCATCTTGGGGTGATTGGATTCTTATTCTTACATCCACTATTTTATATAGGAATGAAGGTGCTCAATTTTTGGGTGTACCCATTTATTCCACATCATTCGCATGTCGGTGGCAGCTTCGAATAGGTCATATATCAATTCTCGTAACTTCGGGAGAAAGGGTGCCTCCTCACAAAGGGGGTCGTAGTGACCAAGCCCGGGTGACTGTTTACAACTCATTTTCACAGATCAAGAACTACAAGATCACCCCTTTCATTCTGGGGTGACGGAGGGATCAATACCCCACAACATACTGAAACCCTTGTTCCGCTTAGAGATCCATCGGAAAGACAAGAGTTTAGTCATGAAAAGATGATTGATTTAGTCGTTAGGCCTACTCGAAAAACTCGGTTGTTACGATGTTTCCAAATCAAGTAGAGAGTAATCCATATGACTGCCTTCCTAAGGTGTTGTCTTGAATTTGGAATGGGTTGAGAATCTGAACTAGTCGATAAATTATCGAAAGGAGAAAAGTGGGGATATGTTCTACCCCCACCAACTAATGTCCTTCCATCATGAGAGACTCAAAGGAGATTTTAAGAAGCAATGCACAATAGTTTTTTAGAAGGGTGTCCCACGCTAAATGCCTATAGTAATCCGGGCAAATTTTGACTACAAGAAATCAGCTCTGATAAATTCAATGGTCACAATCGTTGTGTATGCCTGGAATCAAACGTTGGGCAAATTTGATATTCCACCACATCCCCCATGACCTCAACCACTACGCCACAATCCTTTATCATTAATGCTCAATAGTTTCCACCTCATTATCGCAAACAAGGACAAAGAGTATAATATAGATTCGTACCTTGTCATGAAGAACCGTCAAACCAGAATCCTCCTCAATCAAAGCCGCCAAATAAAGATGCAAACCTTCCTTGGCGTACAAGTACTCTATTGACTTGGAATAATGTTCCCAGACACCTGCAAAAGATCGTTTCAATCGAGCATATTAGGTCAAGACCGTGAAAAACCCGTCCTTGCTAAGTCGCCACACCCAACGATCCCCTTCATTCGGCCTAATACTAATGCTACTAAGAATATAATTCAACTATTTCACATCACCAATCAATCTTTCCCTAGGATCCCTAGCCTATTCTGATAACTCATGCAAACAGTCATCAACTCTCACCACCCGATTACGAACCGAAACATCCTTCTCAACTTCCAACCTATAGTCTATAGAGCCTTGGGATCAACTCACTAAGCTTACAGTTACCTAACCATTTATCCTTCCAAAAGAAAGTGTCATCCTTTCTCGAAAGAGTCCGAAAAATGGACACCAAATTTTGAACAAATCCTTACCTACATGCATTATGCCTCCCTAAGCCCTTATGGATTCAAAACTTGAGTTTTCAATGATGGTTGTAAAAATGTTTATTTTTGACAAATTTATTTATTTAGAACAATTTTAATCTTTTCATATCATATCATGTTATTGAAATACTTATTAAACAGTTAAACTAACTTAGAATAACTGTATTTCTTTGGAGTCCATTTGTCAAAAAAATAATGGGCTTGTCGTTGTGAAACTATAGTAAAGGCAACAAAAAGAAGTGTAAGGTAGCGGATCCGAGAATTTATGTGATGGAAGTTAGAATTTTGTGTTTCACCATTGTTAATGATTAAAATTTGAAGTTTCAACATGATATTGTAGTCTCATTTTTTCGACAAAGATGACCAGTTGTGATCAAACAAATAGTTGTGGTAGCAGCATTAAGGTCCACAAAAAATACAGTACGAGATACAAATTTAGTGATGACACAGACAAACATACACACATCTACATATATTATATATCATACAAACATACACACATGCCACATTAATAAAAGAATCATCCCTACATCTACAATTGTAATTTTCTATACGATTAATAAAATAATTAACATTCAACCACCAAATCATCAATAATTAACAAAAAGTTTACAACTAACAAAGCTAACTGTAACAATTAACATTCTAACATTAACTGAACTTTAGATTAATTATAGAAAATGTAGTTGTAACATGGCAAAACTTTTACACAGTAAAACCTTATTTATTTGGATTAATTGAATCTATTTATCTCTCTCTCTCTCTCTCTCTCTCTCTATATATATATATATATTAGTTATGAAAAAAATTTAAATGTAAAGTATTTTTTTGAAAAATTTGACTGCCAATTAAATTTAATATAAAATTTTAATTCACAGTCTTCCTATGAATTTGGTGTTTAACCCATGTTAATAGTGATTTGGAGTTCATATACCAACATTAAAAGAGAAATTTACTCAAATGATTATTTCTCACATTTAAATTGGTTTTTTAATCATTTTTTTCAGGTTTATCCAAATGTCATTATTTTTGTGATATCGAGGTTTGCAATATTAGTTAAAAAGACAAA